CCACCACCACCACCACCACCACCACCACCACCACCACCACCACCACCCCCGCTGGGAAAAAGCCACCAACACCACAGGGTGGAGGTCACATTGTTGCTGGGACTGACTGACAGAAGCAGGCGGACACTCAGGGCTTTGCTTCCCATTGGTGGGAATGGGTGTTGCCCTGGAAGCACGTGTAAACATTCTGTCTGGCGGGCGTGGGGCGGAGCGGCCCGGAGCGGCCCGGAGTCTGAGGCCTCCCTGGTTCCCTGGCCCGTACTGTTCCAAACAAGGATCCGCTCACTCAGGTGCCGGGGGTGGGGGGTGGGGGAGTGTTTGTGAAGGGTGGGGGGGCGCCGCAAAGAGGCCTCGCGCAGTCGTCACCCCCCGCCCCCGCTTGACCACACCCCCGGCCCTTCCCACCCGCGCCGGGCATCTGGCCTCCCTCTTAGGAAGGAAGCGGAGCCAAAGCACTAGGACGCTTACGAAGGATTTGTGCCCGTGGGCGAGCGAGGGCGCAATCGGAGCTGCTTGCCGAGCCCCGCTCCCCTTTCCCTTTCCTGCCGGAATACAGGGCTCCCCAGGGAAGGTCTTAAGGAGGTCCTTCCACGGATGAGACCCCTGCCTCTTCGGCCTGGTTTTGTTTTGTTTTGTTTTTTTAAAGATTGTTATTTATTTATTTGACAGAGAGAGACACAGCGAGAGAGGGAACATGAGCAGGGGGAGTGGCAGAGGGAGAAGCAGGCTTCCCGCAGAGCAGGGAGCCCGATGCGGGGCTCGATCCCCGGACCCTGGGATCATGACCTGAGCCGAAGGCAGACTCTTAACGACTGAGCCACCCAGGCGCCCCTTGACATTTTTTTTTTAAAGATTTTATGTATTTATTTGACAGAGAAAGACACAGTGAGAGAGGGAACACAAGCGGGGGGAGTGGGAGAGGGAGAAGCGGGCTCCCCGAGGAGCAGGGAGCCCGATGCGGGGCTCGATCCCAGGACGCTGGGATCAGGACCCGAGCCGAAGGCAGTCGCTTAACCGACTGAGCCACCCGGGCGCCCTTCTACCTGGTTTTGGAGGTCACAGATTTGGCTTCTATTCAATTCATCAAGAGGTAATTTGCTGAGGGGCGCCTGGGTGGCTCAGTCATTGAGTGTCTGCCTTCGGCTCGGGTCATGATCCCAGGATCCTGGGATCGAGCCCCGCATCGGGCTCCCTGCTCGGCGGGAAGCCTGCTTCTCCCTCTCCCACTCCCCCTGCTTGTGTTCCCTCTCTTGCTGTGTCTCTCTCTATCAAATAAATAAATAAAATCTTAAAAAAAAACAAGAGTCTCTCTGTGACCCAGGGTCTCAGCAGGAAACCTGGCATACTTAAGAGCAGGGTAGGTAGAGAAGGGTTAAGCAAAGGGAGTGTTTACGGAGGTGTGGGCAGACAGGAGGGCAACAAGGGCAAGTGCGGCTCCCCCAGGGCTAGAACAGTAGGGCCACAGGGCTAAGGGGCGAGCATAACTGCCTTTACAGGGCTGAGAAGTGAGACCCTTGCCCTGGGACAAGCGGGCCTGCTCCAGCCATAGGGGACCCCGCAGGGGGACCGCTCCCCAGGGAACATATCACTTGCCCTCATTCTCCTCCCTCAGCCTTGTCTCCGCATTGTGTGGAACCTCCTGGAAGCCAGAGGGCATGGGAGAGCCCACTGATGCAGTCCAGTCAGGTCAGCCTTCCAGGGCAGAGAGCAGGGGAGACGGGGAGGGTGGATCTGAAAGGGCAAATGGAAGGTGTCTGGTCCACGATCTCATGGGGCAGGGGTGAGTTAAAGGAAACAAGGCACATTAAACACCCCAAAATTGGGAGTTGCTATTTATAGACGAATAACGAGCTCCCTTTGGAGAGAGATACCCACTTTTATACAGCACCCCCCATGTAAGGATTGCCTGCAGGGATGCATAACTGCTAGAAGTAAGTGATTTCTCATAAGTGAAGAGACTTAAGTAGTAGCCAGGAAAGACAGAGACTCCAAGACTCAAGAGGAAAAGATGGAAAATGTGCAGAGTCCTAATGCTGTGATGAATCCTGTTCACAGCCTGAGTAACTATTAAGTTTCACAATCTCAATAGGTGTTAAAATCATTTGGAAAATTTCGGCGATTGTTTATGATAAACCTCTTACTAAAACAGGAGCAAACAGTTTCCTGATGTGATAAATCTCTCACCATAAACCAGCATCATACTTTATAATGGAACAGCAGAAAGCACACCCACTGAGGTCAGACACAAAAGGATGCACATTATCTTCACTTTCACTGAACATTTCTCCAAAAGTGTTAACCAAAGCGAATACTATGGAACTATATATTTTAGGGAAAAAGATGGTAAAAAATGATAGTTTCTGGCAGATGATATAATTTGTACACCTGGAGAATCCAAGAGAAAAACTGAAAATCCACCCCCTTCTATGCTGTATCACCTCTAATGACTTTTAATTCACTTTATCTTTTTTTTAAAGATTTTATTTATTTATTTGACAGAGAGACACAGCGGGAGCAGGAACACAAGCAGGTGGAATGGGAGAGGGAGAAGCAGGCTTCCCTGCTGAGCAGGGAGCCCGATGTGGGACTCGATCCCAGGACCCTGGGATCATGACCTGAGCCGAAGGCAGACGCTTGACTGAGCCACCCGGGCGCCTTTCACTTTATCTTTTTTAAAGATTTATTTATTTATTTGAGAGAGAGCATGAGCAGGGGGAGGGACAGAGAAAGGAGAGAATCTCAAACAGTCTCCCCACTGAGCACAGAGCTCAACACAGGGCTCAATCCCACAACCCTGAGATCACGACCTGAGCCAAAATCAAGAGTCGGATGTTTAACTGACTGAGCTACAGGCGCCCCAGGGCACATAGCTCTTTAAAGTGAATTAAAATTGGGGTGCCTGGGTGGCTCAGTCAGTTCAGCATCTGACTCTTGCTTTTGGCTTAGATCGTGATCTCAGGGCTGGGCTCCATGCTCAGAGGGAAGTCTGCTCTTTCTCTCTTCCTCTGCCACTCCCCCTGCTCGTGCGTGCGTTCTCTCTTTGTCTCTCAAATAAAATAAATAAAATCTTAAAAAAAAAAAAAAAGAGAGAGCCATGTGCCTTCAGTTGCCTAAGCAGGGACTGAGGTTCTTTTTTTTTCTTTTTAAGATTTTATTCATTTATTTGACAGAGAGACACAGTGAGAGAGGGAACACAAGCAGGGGGAGTGGGAGAGGGAGAAGCAGACTCCCCGCTAAGCAGGGAGCCCGATGTGGGGCTCGACCCCAGGAGCCTGGGATCATGACCTGAGCCAAAGGCAGACGCTTAACGACTGAGCCACCCAGGTGCCCCAGGGACTGAGGTTCTATTCAAGACTCAACTAGAAATCAATATTGTTAGAACTCCAAAGAAGTTAGGACTCATTCTCCTACATCTTGATTAAACTGTTCATGGTTATAAGAATCTGAAAATCCTTGGTTTTCAGGAAAAATAGATCTCTGAAGCTAGGCACAATGGATAAACCGTAAAGGCCTCACTCCTCTCCCCACCCTTAAGGCCCTGTTGCCCCCTAGAGGCAACAACCATTTCCTGTGTCTTGTTATCCTTCAAGTGGTGGTCTGAACTTAGATATCTGAGTGTGTAGGCACATGCGCAAGAGATAACTTCTTGAGTTTCTTTTTCCAGGCAAAAGAAAATGGATGGGACTGAAGATTTCAAAATCCAGAAGATGGATGTGGATCAAAGTCCTACAAGCCAGGAGACAGACACAGAAGAAGACAATGGCAATCTGAATGAACTAGCATTAGCGTTAGTGAAGAGTGCCGTCAATGCCGCTGTTAAGACTGTGGCAGGTAGTAACCCTACTGGGAGGTGTGAAGGACTAGCCCATTAAACAATGCCACACTACCAGGCAACTAACAAATTCTCACCTTTTTTTTTTTTTGCAGAAGAAGAAAAGCCCATCAAAAATATCAAATGGATCACACACGGTGAATTCACAGCAGAAAGGGGCCATAAGCAAATTGAGGAGTTCATTCTGGTAAGTTAGTTGACCATTCCAGATTGGTGTACAAGGGCGAGGAACAATGAAAAGTTTAAAACCTGGAAACCCTAGATGATTTCAAAGATGACTAAGTAAACATTGTCCCCATCTGGGTTCCAAATTCACCATGGTATGGTTCGACGGTGAAAGGCACAATCGTATTTCCCGGTTTGTATCATCCTAACCTTACATCTCCCTTGGAAAATCTGATACTCCCTCCCAGTTAAGCCATTTTCCCATGCTGGTGCTCTAAGTGGGGGCCTAGTGGCCAAAGGCCAAAGGCCAAAGGCAGCTTCTGTTCCAAAACAGGAATTCTCCATCACCAACTTTAGAAATCTCATATGAACAGAGGGGATGCCGATGGATCTTTCTGATTTGGTTTTGGAACATAATGTCCACACATTATGATGTGCATGCCTGTGACTTCCTCTCCTTTTTCCGCCAGTGCCTGGCTCTGACTTATTTGTGTGGCTTATCCTGGCAGCTTTGGAGAGAAGGCCCTGGGTTGCTTTGCATAACTGGCGAGGTGGATTAAGAAATGGCCTGAAATCCCCACTCACTGTATTTCCTCAGAAGAGAGATGAGTTGAAAAAAAAAGGGGGGGGGGCGGCTCAGTCGGTTGAGCGTCGGCCTTCGGCTCAGGTCATGATCCTGGAGTCCTGGGATAGAGCCCCGCATCGGGCTCCCTGCTCAGCGAGGAGCCTGCTTCTCCCTCTTCCTCTGCTGCTCCCCCTGCTTGTACTCTCTCTTTCTCAAATAAAGAAAATCTTAAAAAAAAAAAAAAAAGAAGAAGAAGAGAAATGAGTTGAAACAGGTGGAGGCAAACTCCCCACCCCTCGGAGAAGCTTCCTGCTGTCTCTGTTTCTCTGGCCAGCCCATCACAGCCTACAGCCCCAAGGGCAGTTTCCTAGGCCCTAGGAAGGCCCAGTCAGGTGGCAGTGAGGTGGTTCCACACCCTCTCATACCCCAGCAGGCACATTTCAATTACAAGGGGTCTCTAGAGCACAATGATGATGAATGGTGCAAAGTACTACTTACTCTTGGACCTTCTTGCTCTGGAGAACGTCTCCCTTTGGAGTTGGGCAAAAGCCCCTGCCTACTGCACCCAGGGTCTGTGAATCAGACTGGAATGGGACACAGAACAAGCAGAAAAATTTCCCCCAACAATGCCACCAGTTATTCTGAATAAAAGGCAAACGTCAGTCCTGACAAGGGGCTACAGAGCTTGAAGTGATCTGAGTCCCCTCCTCCCTCCCAACTTGCCGCTCAGGGTCATCACCTTCTACCTTCTCCCCTTTCACCGTCCTTGCCACAGCCACACCTGTCTCCTTCCTGTTCAACTGCCAGGCACGCTCCCGCCTCAAGGCCTTGGCACATGCAGGGCTGCCCGCCTGGAACCCTCTCCCCTGCGATCTGTTTGATCTGTTCTCATGGGTCGGGCCTTACCTCTCTTGAGATCTTTGTTAACATGCCGCCTGTTCACTCACTCTGAGAATGACCTGAAGACTAGTAGAAGAGCTCTTCCACAGCTGAAGATATAAAAAAAAAAAGCCATATTAAGAAGGGGAGCAGGGACCGAGACAAAGTCAGGAACTAAACCCCTGCACGGCGACCCACACATGGGAGCGCTATCACAGGCGTGCAGGTACTCCCTGAGGAGTGGGAGGTTCAAGCCCCACCTCTGAGCACCACCCACCCTGGAGACAAGAAGATGACACCCACCCCCCCAACATGTGGCCTTGAAAATCAGCAGTGTTTTATCCCAGGAGCTTGGAAAATCAAGGGAGGGCCAGAGTGTTACAGGAAACCAAGACTCTGCTCTTAAAGGGCCCACACACTATCACACTCTCTTGGAGACCAAGCCCAGAGGTAGTGGTTTGAAAGGTGCCTGGACTATATGTGACAGGGATTGATCAGCTACTTTTAGGGTTATGTGCCAAAGGGGCAGGGATCTGTAGGAACTTTCTCTGGGAACAAAGGTCCTGGTGGGTACCAGTTCTGACATTCTCCATCCACCTCGCTAGCAGTACTGTCCCTGCCCTGGCAGGTAACCCTCTAAAGCAGCTCCTGGCCCCCAGGCAGCCTCATTTGGGATCTGCATCTCCCCAAAACAATTACCACCCTGCCACAGCTGGTCCCTCCAAAGCAACTCATGCCCCAGGGGTGGGGGAGCCCAGTCCCACCTACCAGCACTCCCACAATAGTCACTTACGAGGCACTGCAGCTGGGGGAGAGGGGGCAAGGGCCAGCCCCACTCACCAGCACCCCCCGCAGCAGTCACAGCTGAGCCACAACAGGTCAGTGCACACAGCCCACACGTGGGACACCCCTGGAGTGCCTGGTTCTGGTGATGAGGGCTGATTATACCACTGGGCCCCCTGAACACCTTGTACATAAGGCCACTACTTTCATGACCAGGAGACGGAGCTGATGTACCTAATACACAGAAACAACACATAGAGTCAGACCAGATGAGGAGACGGAGGAGAAAGAACAAGACAAAACCACAAGAAAAAGAACTAAAAACGTGGATAAGCAATTTATCTGATAAAGAGTTCAAAGTAATGGTCATAAAGGTGCTCACAAGAGGACAAGAGTTGGGAGAAGAATGGATGAACCCAGTGAGAACTTCAACAAAGAGACAGAAAATATTTTTACTTTTATTTTTTGAGAGAGAGCTCAAGTGGGGGTGGGGCAGAGGGAGAGGGAAAGAGAATCCCAAGCAGGCTCCCTGCCTAGTGCGGAGCCCCATGCGCGACTCAATCTCATGACCCTGAGATCATGACCTGAGCCGAAATCAAGAGTCGGACGCTTAACCGACTGAGCCACCCAGGCGCCCAAGAAAAAGGAATTCTTAAGAAATGAGAGTAGGATAAGGTACCACTGGAACAACATCAAGCATACCAACATTTGCATTATAGGGCTCCCAGAAAGAAAAGAGAGAGAAAGGGGCAGAAAATCTATCTGAAGACATAATAGCTAAAAACTTCCCTAACCTGGGGAAAGAAACAGACACCTGGGTCCAGGGAGCACAGAGAGCCCCAAATAAGAGGAACCCAAGGAGGTCCATGCCAAGACACATAATAATGAAAATGCCAAAAATTAAAGATAAAGAGAGAATCTTTTTTTTTTAAAGATTTTATTTATTTGAGAGAGAGAGAGAGCACATGAGAGGGGAGGGTCAGAGGGAGAAGCAGACTCCCCACTGAGCAGGGAGCCCGATGCGGGGCTCGATCCCGGGACTCCAGGATCATGACCTGAGCCGAAGGCAGTCGCCCAACCAACTGAGCCACCCAGGCGCCCTAAAGAGAGAATCTTAAAAGCAGCAAGAGAATACAAATAGTTACGTATAGGACAACCCCCATAAGGTGATCAGCTGATTTTTCAGCAGAATTTGCAGGCCAAAAGGAAGTAGCACAGCACATTCAAAGTACTGGAAAGAAAAACCTACAACCAAGAATACTCTGTCCAGCAAGGTTGTCAATCAGAACTGAAGGAGAGAGAGAGTTCTCAAACAAAAGTTAAAGGAGTTCATCACCACTAAACCAGCATTACAAAAAATGTTAAAGGGACTTGTTTAAGTAGAAAAGCCCATAATTAGAAGACAATTAAGAAAGAAAAAATTTCACTGGTAAAAGCAAACATATAGTAAAGGTAGTAGATCAATCACTTATAAAGCTAGTATGAAGGTTAAAAGGCAAAAGTGGTAAAATCAATTATAGCTATGACAATTATTTACGAGATACACAAAATAAAAAGATGTAAAATATGATGTCAACTACATAAAATAGGAGGAAATAAAAATGCAGCACTTTTACAATGTGTTCCAAATTAAGTGACCATCAACTTAAAATACACTGCTATATATACATAGTGCATTATAGATGAACCTCCTGGTAACCACAATCCCAAAACCTATAACAGACACATAAAAGACACAGGAATCCAAACATAACATTAAAGAAAGTCATCAAATCACAAGGGAAGAAAGGAACAGAGAAGAACTACAAAAACAACCAGAAAACAATTAACAACCTAATCCTAAGTACATGCCTAGCAGTAATTACTTTAAATGTAAATAGACTACATGCTCCAATCATAAGACACAGGGTGACTGAAGGGATAAAAAACCAAACCCATCTATATGCTGTCTACAAGAGACTCACGTCAGACCTCGAGACACACACAGACTGAAAGTGAAGGGATGGGAAAAGATATTCCAAGCAAATGAGAGAAAAAAAAGGAAAACCTGGGTAGCAATACTCATACCAGACAAAATGGACTTAAAAAAAAAAAAACAAACACCTGTAGCCAGAGACAAAGGGCATTATATAATGATAAAGGGGTCAAACCAACAAGGAGATATAAGACTTGTATATTTACATCTATGCACCCAATACAGGAGCACCTAAATATATAAAGAGAATATTGACAAATATAAAGGAAGAAATTGACAGTAGTATAGTAATAGTAGGGAACTTTAACACCCCACTTACTGTCAATAGATCATCCAGACAGAAAACCAATAAGGAAAGTGACTTTGAATGACACATCAGACCAGATGGACTTAACATATATCCAGAACATTCCATCCCAAAACAGCAGAATACACATTCTTTTCAAGTACACATGGAACATTCTCCAGGACAGATCACATGTTAGGCTAGAAAACAAGTCTCAATAAACTTAAGAAGACTGAAATCGTATCAAGCGTCTTTTCTTAGCACAATGGTATGAAAATAGAAACCAATTAGAAGAAGAAAACTGAAGGGACGCCTGGGTGGCTCAGTCGTTAAGCGTCTGCCTTCGGCTCAGGTCATGATCCCAGGGTCCTGGGAGTCCCACATCGGGCTCCTTGCTCAGTGAGGAGCCTGCTTCTCCCTTTCCCTCTACTGCTCCCCCTGCTTGTGCTCTCTCTCTCTGACAAATAAATAAATAAAAATCTTAAAAAAAAAAAAAGAAAACTGGAAAAAAACTATAAACACCTGGAGGCTAAACATGATACTAAGCAATCAATGGCTGAACAAAGAAGTCAAAAAGGAAATAAAAAAATACCTTGAGACAAATGAAAATGGAAACACAGTACAAAATCTATGCGATGCTGCAAAAGAGGTTTTAGAGGAAAGTTTTTTTTTTTTTAAAGATTTATTTATTTAGGAGTGCCTGGGTGGCTCAATTAAGCGTCTGCCTTCGGCTCAGGTCATGATCCCAGAGTCCCAGGATGGAGCCCTACATCGGGCTCCCTGCTCAGCTGGGAGTCGGCTTCCCCCTCTCCCTCTGTCCCTCCCCGCCACTCATGTGCGCTCTCTCTCTCCCTCAAATAAATAAATAAAATCTTAAAAAAAGAGATTTATTTATTTATTTGAGGTGGGAGGGGCAGAGGGCGGAGAAAAAAACTTAAGCAGACTCCACGCTAAGGGAAGTTTATAGCACTAGAGACCCAACTCAAGAAATCTGAAAATCTTAAATAAACAATTTAATCTTATACCTAAAGGAAGTAGAAAAAGAACAAAGCCCAAAATTAGTAGAAAGAAGGAAATAATAAGTATCAGGAGAAGATAAACGAAACAGAAACTTAAAACATTAGAAAAGATCAATGAAGCTAAGAGCCGGTTCCTTGAAAAGATAAAATTGAAAAACCTTTAGCAAGACTCATGAAGAAAAAGAGAGGACTCAAATGAAGAAAATCAGGAATGAAAGAAGTTATAGCTGACACCACAGAAATACAAATGATTATAAGAGACTAGACTAGTCTGAAAAATTATTTGTTGCAAACAAATTAAACAACCTAGAAGAAATAGATAAATTCCTAGAAACAATCTTCCAAGACTACAATCAAGAAGGAATGGAAAATCTGAACAGACAAAATGCTAATAATGAAATTGAATCAGTACTCAAAAAAACTCCCAACAAAAGAAGTCCGGGACCAGATGGCTTCACAAGTGAATTTCACTAAACATTTTTTTTAAAGATTTTATTTATTTATTTGAGAGAGAGAGAGAGCATAAGAGAGAGAGAGAGCATGAGGGTGGAGGCAGAGGGAGAGGGAGAAGCAGACTCCCCGCGGAGCAGGGAGCCCGATGCAGGGCTCAATTCCAGAACCCTGGGACCATGACCTGAGCTAAACTAAAGGCAGATACTTAACTGACTGAGCCACCCGGTGCCCATCACCAAACATTTAAAAAGGAGTTGATACTTATCCTTCTCCAACTATTGCAAAAAATTAAAGAGGAAAGGATGCTTCCCAGTCACTCAATGAGACCAACATTACCCTGATACCAAAACCAGACAGACACTACACAAAAAGAAAATTCCAGGTCAATATCCCTGAGGAACATAGATGCAAACATCTTCAATGATATATTAACAAACCGAATTCAACAATACATTAAAAGTATCATATATCATGATCAAGTGGGATTTATTCCAGGGATGCAAGGATGATTTAATATACACAAATTAATCAATGTGATACACCCTGTTAACAAAATAAAGGATAAAAATAATATGATCATCTCAATAAATGCAGAAAAAGCATCTGACACAACTCAACATTCAAATATGATAAAAACTCTCAACAAAGTGGGCATAGAGGAAACATACCTCAGCATAAAAGAGGCCAGATATGACAAACCCAGAGCTAACATCACGCTCAAGAGTGAAAGGCTAAAAGCTTTCTCTCTAAGATCAGGAACAAGACTAGAATGCTCACTCTTGTGACTTTTATTCAACATACAGTACAAGGCCTAGCTGTAGCAATGAAACAAGAAAAAGAAATAAAAGGCATCCAAATTGGTAAAGAAGAAGTAAAACTGTCACTATTTGCAAATGTCATGATATTATATATAGAAAACCCTAAAGACTCCACCAAAAAACTATTAGAACTAATAAATGAACTCAATGAAGTTGCAGGATACAAAATTAACATACGGAAATCTGTTGTTGTGTTTCTATACACTAATAACTATCAGAAAGAGAAACTGAAAAAACAATCCCATATACAATTGCATCAAAAAGAATAAAATACCTAGCAATAAATTTAACCAAGAAGTTGAAAGACATGTATTCTGAAAACTATAAGACAGTGATGAAAGAAACTGAAGATGACAAATAAATGGAAAGATATATCATGCTCATGAAATGGAAGAATTAATATTGTTGAAATGCCCATACTACCCAAAGCAATCTATAGAATTCAATACAATCCCAATAAAAATACCAATGGCAATTTTACATTTTAGAACAAATAATCCTAAAATTTATATGGAATGACATAAGACCTCAATTAATCAATGCAATCTTAAGAAAGAAGAGCAAAGCAGGAAGTATCATGCTCCCAGATTTCAAACTATACTACAAAGCTACAGTAATCAAAAAACAGTATGGTACTGGGCACAAACACATATACATCAAAGGAACAGAACAGAGTCCAGAAATAAACCCACACTTATATGGTCAATTAATCTATGCCAAAGGAGGCAAGAGTATACAGTGGGGAAAAGACAGTCTCTTCAATAAAAGGTGTTAAGGAAACTGGACAGCTACATGCAAAATAATGAAATTGGAGGAGTGCCTGTGCGGCTCAGCTGGTTGAATGTGTCCGACTCTTGGTTTCAGCTCAGGTCATGATCTCATCAGGGTAGTGAGATCGAGCCCTACATTAGGCTGTGCGCTTGGAGTGCAGTTTGCTTGAGATTCTCTTCCTCTGCCCCTCCCCCTGCTCGCACGCTCTCTCTCTCTCAAATAAACACTTAAAAAAAATGAAAACAGACCACTTTCTAACCACAAACACAAAAATAAACTCAAAATGGATTAAAGACCTAAATGTAAGACCTGAAACCATAAAACTCCTAAAAGAAAGCAGAGGAAGTAACACCTGGAAATCAGTCTTAGCAATATTTTTCTCAGGCAAGGAAAACAAAAACAAAAATAAACAATTACAACTACATCAAACTAAAAAACCTTTGCACAGCAAAGGAAACCATCAATAAAATGAAAAAGTGGGCGCCTGGGTGGCTCAGTTGGTTAAGCAACTGCCTTCGGCTCAGGTCATGATCCTGGAGTCCCGGGATCGAGTCCCGCATCGGGCTTCCTGCTCAGCAGGGAGACTGCTTCTCCCTCTGACCCTCTTCCCTCTCGTGCTCTCTATCTCTCATTCTCTCTCTCTCAAATAAATAAAATCTTTAAAATAAATAAAATAAATAAAATGAAAAAGTAACCTACTAAATGTGAGAAGATATTTTGCAAATGATATGTCTGATAAAGGGTTAATATCCAAAATATATAAAGAACTCATACAACTCAACACCCCCCCCAAAATTCATTTAAAAAATGGGCAGATGGCCTAAATAGAAACTTTTTCCAAAGAGGAGATACAGATGGACAAGAAACACAGGAAAAGATTCTCAACATCATTAATCATCAGGGAAATGCAAATCACAACCACAATGAGATATCACCTCACACCAGTCAGAATGGCTAATATCAAAAAGACAAGAAATAACAATTGTTGGTGAAGATGTGAAGAAAAGGGAAGCCTCATGCACTGTTGGTGGAAGTGTAAATCCGTGCAGCCATTATGGAAAAGAGTATGGAGGTTCCTCAAAAAATTTTAAATAGAAATACTATATGATCCAGCAATTCCACTTCTGCATATTTTTCCGAAAACAAAAACACTAACTTGAAAAGATATATGCACCCCATGTTCACTGCAGCATTATTTGCTATAAGCCAAGATGTGGAAGCAACTTAAGCATCCATCGATAGATGAATGGATAACAAAGATGTGATATATAAAAAATAGAATATTATTCAGCCATAAAAAAGAATGAAATCTTGCCATTTGTGACAACATGGATGGACCCAGAGGGTATTATGCTAAGAAGTAAGTTAAAGAAAGACAAATAACATACAATTTCACTTACACGTGGAATCTAAAAAACCAAACAAATGAACTAACAAATCAAAACAGAAACAGACTCAAATATAGACAACAAACGTGTTACCAGAGGGGAGAGGGGTATGATTTGGGTGGAACAAGTGAAGGGGATTAAGAGGTATGAGCTTCCAGTTATAAAATGAACTAGTCACAGGGCGCTCAGCCGGCTCAGTTGGTGGAGCGTGTGACTCTTGATCTCGGGGTTGTGAGTTTGAGCCCCACGTTGGGCAAGAGATTACTCAAAATAAAATCTTTAAAAATAAATAAAATAAAATAAAATAGTCACACGGATGAAAAGCACAGCAGAGAAAATAGTATTACTATTTTAATAATTTTGTATGGTGACGGACCTATTGTGCTCATTTCATGATGTGCATAAATATTGAATCACTATGTTGTATACCTGAAACTAATATACTACTGTATGTCAACTACAGCTCAATTAAAAAAAAATTCTACCTGCTCACTGAGGCCTTTCCTCGTCACCTCATCTAAAATTGCAACCCGTTCTCCTCCTCTGATTTACTTTTTCCCTTAGCATTCAGCTCTACCTAAGATATTAGATTTTACTTACTTACCCTTTGCCTTTCTTCCACTTACAGATCAAATAGTCAATGAGGGCAGAGGCTTTTATTCAATTCTCTGTCCCCAGCCCCTAGAAAGCTCAGGTACACAGAGATGCTCTAAAACATGTGTTGAACACGTGAACAGATTTATTCTCTCCATACCATTATTTGTTCACAGATGAAGAGCTTACCTACTGTGTAGGACTGTTATGAGGATAAGATGATTAGAAAGTGGAAAGTAACTGAAACGTTAAAAGCTCTATAAAGCTACTGACATAAAATCATCTTGTTCCCAGCCCTGCTAATGCAGTGAGCCCTAGAAGTAAACTCTGCCATCTAAGTGTCGGACATTTCTGATGGAGAGCTTTCTCAAGCTTATTGCAGATTTCCCAGAGTCCACCGTACCCCAGGGGATGGCAAATCAGTAGTTACCACTTACTGAGCATTACTATGTGTCAAGTACTGCTGAGCACTTCACATGCATGATCTCACCTAACCCCCACAATGAACCTGCATGTAGGTACATCAGGGTACCCATTTTACAGATGAGAAACCCTGAGGTTCAGAGAGGTTGGACTATTTGTCCAGTCTTTTTTTTTTAAAGACTGTATTTATTTATTTATTTATTTTAGGAAGAGAAAGTGTGCATGAGTGGGGGGAGGGGCAAAGGGAGAGGGAGAGGCAGAGAATCTCAAGCAGACTCTGCCCTGGGTGTGGAGCCCATCGTGGGGCTCTATCCCATGACCCTGAGATCATGACCTGAGCCGAAACTGAGGCAGACACTTAACTGACTGAGCCACCTAGGCACCCCTGTCCTAAGTCTTTCTGATTAATCAGCAAAATAAAGTTTTGATCACAGGTCTGATATACTTTGGCCACCATAGTAGGAAAAGTTCTTTTTTTTCCTTTAAAGGTTTTATTTATTTATTTGGGAGAGAGAGAGAGCGAACATGAGTGGGGAGGAGGGGCAGAGGGAGAAGCAGACTCCTCACTGAGCAGGGAGCCCGATGCAGGGCTCAGGGCTCGATCCCAGGACTCTGGGATCACGACCGGAGCTGAAGGCAGACGCTTAACCAACTGAGCCACCCAGGTGCCCCTGAAAAGTTATTTTGATGACAAAAATAATGCAGAGTTTTACTATCAGTGAAAAATGCAAATTCAAAAGATTTTAAGGTATTACAATGTGAATAAGAATGATTAAACCTGATGTCCAGAGGCTCATGTGTTTTGGAGAGGGAATAGGTACACTTACACACGGCCAATGGGCACAATTTGTTTATTCTCTTAAGGAACACAACCTGGCAACATGAATATACAAATAAGTTCTTTCTAAGAGGAAAGTTGGAAAATCTCCAATGCCTAACACCCAGTTAAATTTATTTATTTATTTATTTATTTGACAGAGAGAGACACAGCGAGAGAGGGAACACAAGCAGGGGGAGTAGGAGAAGGAGAAGCAGACTCCCCGCTGAGCAGGGAGCCCGATGCGGGGCTCGATCCCAGGGCCCTGGGACCATGACCTAAGCCAAAGGCAGATGCTTAACGACTGAGCCACCTAGGCACCCCTAAAATTATTTTTATTCTAAAACAAGACATTATTAAAAAACGGAAAATCCCCAATGAGCAAAAGGACACAAAGTAGAAAGGGAAAACTCTCCTTCCACCCCCACGATACCCGGTTCTACTCCCTCAAGGGTCACTTACCATTGCTAACAGTTTTGTGCATATACTTCCAGGTGCCTGTTGATTTTGAGTGTCCAATAATATGTAATTGGCTAAGCCATCCATGGTGGAGTAGCACAATGAGATACTGTTTCCTGGAAGCGAGTATATGAAGCAATGTTATGTAAAAATTACAAAATACAAGGATAACACATACTCACTGGAGCTACGTAAAGAGCTGCCTGAACAGTGATAAAAATGGGGAAACCGGCTTGATGGAGATGGCTGAATTTAATGTGTCTAAGGCTGCCTTAGTTCACAAAAGAAAGAAAAAAAAAACTCTAGGACACCAAATTGAGAGGAAGAGAATCTTAGAACAGAGACATCTGGTGGGGTAGAGAGAGCACTGAGCGGGCTGCTTGGGAGCCCTGGGTCCCAGTCCCCGCTTTTATGTTGGACTGTCCCTTCCCATTGCTAGGCCCCAATATTCTCATCTGCAAAGGGAGGGACTTCCCTAAATGATCTCTAGGGCCCCTTCCGATGGTACAAAGTCTTTGATTGTCTGACGGATTCAACATCAGGGCTGAAGAAATATATTCATATAGAAAGGTTGGAAAGAAAGTCATGCTCCAATGGGCCGCAAAGGGTTAAGTAGCAGGCTCCTTCATAAAAGGAATGATAATCTGTGTAAAATACAGTTCTGATCCCAGGGAATCTAGAGTCTGGTGCTCCTGTCTGGCTGACTGAAACAATCAATTGGGTATAAGTTTGAAATAAAGTAAGCTGGGGCTCCTGGGTGGCTCAGATGTTTAGGCGTCTGCCTTCAGCTTGGGTCGTGATCCCAGGGTCCTGGGATTGAGCCCCGCATCGGGCTCCCAGCTCGGCAGGGAGTCTGTTTCGCCCTCTGCCTCTCTCCTCTGCTCGTGGTCTCTCTTTCTCTCTCTCTCTGTCTGTCTCTCTCAAATGAATAAATAAAATCTTAAAAAAAAAAAAGGAAAGAAATAAAGTAAGCTGAGGCAGAAGGCCAACCTACTTTTTAAAATTTTTTTAGAGGGCCTGAAATCTTTTAGCCATCTCCCTCCAACTGTTCCTCCTCATATCACTGAAACTCTTAGACTGTCCCACTTCCTTCCTTCTGTGGACCTTCAACTTAATTCAGGACTTTTTTTGATGTGGAAGCTTCCTGTGCACCAATAGCCAACCCAAGGGGGTTCAGTTGAATTGAACTTGTTGAATACCTATAGCATTCAAGGCACTGGACTGAGAATCGGGGCTGCACTGTGACTTCTGTGGGCCCTAGGCACTAGTAAAATTCATGCTTTGGAGAGAAAAATTTCTCCAAGGGGGTAAAATAGGGATCTGAGGATCTGGATGATCCCAGTGCCTGACTCATTCCTTTTCTAAACTTAGTTTATATACCACTGATGGCTGCATTGAACTGAGTCTGATTTTCAAAAACAGCTTGTGAAATCAGCCTCATTACTTTCCAGTGGCATCTACAGGCCTCCCAAGAGGAGTGAGCAGAACACATGCTCCAATCACTTTCTAATTACTCTCCAACTAACCAAACTTGCCTCCCAAGTAAGGGTCTGGCGGGAGGTCAGTGTGTATACGTGCGTGTGGTGTATTTGTGCACCTCTGGGTGCACATCTGATTGCGCACCTCTGGGTTCCAAAGCCCGATCTCCAGGGAGGTTGCATTATTTCACTCATTTCATGTCGGCTCTACCTTTTCTCTCCTCCACTTGTGGAGATAGATTGGGAGTTGACTCTAGTTTGAATCCCAGTCAAAAATGTTAGAAATGGATGCCCGAAGCTGGGCTGTAACCCCTACTGCTGTGTTGTTGCCTTTACCTAGAGGACTTGAAAGAACGTTTGCTTTTCTTTCTGTGTGTTCTTTCTCTTTTATATGAAACAGACTTGGGAGTATCAAAACTGCTGGGTGCACTACACAGAGTTTATACAGAGGGAAGACTTGGTTCACAGCTACCACTATATCTACTGTGTGCGCTGGAGCATCCCAACTGCTAAGAGACCCATGCCACAAGTCACTGCCTCTGCCTACTTCACCATCAAGATCACCAAAAACAAACCTCCAGTAAGCTCTTCCTTTCTGCCCCGTTCGCTTAGATGAGACTTCAGTGAAAATGGAGACTTCTCCTGTCAGGGTCATTGATGACCCCTTCTTTGTAAAACTTAAGTCCTATTTCTGTCCTCATCTTGCTTGGCCAATCTACAGCACTTGCCAGAGCTGCTCACTCCCCGCTTCATGAAATGTTCCATTTGGCTGCTAGAACCACACACTATCTGGGCTTTCCTTCCTGCCTCACCGACCATTCCTTCTCAGTCTCTACTGGCCTCGAACCTGTCCTCCATACTCCTCTCCTTGGTGATCTTGTCGTCTCCTGACTTTAAACGCCACCTCTAGCTTATGCTTCCCAAATCTGCATCTCCAGCCCAGATCTCTGCCACTTGGATGTTTAATAAACATCTCACTTCTTGTATCCAAAACTGAACTTCCAATTTTCCCCTCCCAACCTGACCTGCCCGCAGACCTCTCATCTCCGTCCATGGCCCAAATCCTTGGCATCATCCTTGACTCATCCCTCATCCAACACATTAGCAATCCTATTGGCCCTATCTTCAAAAATAGGTCCTGAATCCAACAATTTCTTACCACTCCACTTCTGCCACCTTGGTACAAGACACCATCATCTCTTACCAAGATTCTTTCAATAGCCTCCTAACTGGCCTCTCTGCTTCCACCCTTGCCCTCATTGCGTATCTTTTCGAAATAGCAGCCGCCAGCCAGAGTGAGCCTGATAAAATGAACCTATGCCACTCCTCTGTTTAAAATGTTCCAACGTGTTTCTCTAACTTCAAAGTGCATGCCCATTAATTGCAGATCTTGTTGAAAGGAAGATTCTGATTCAGCAGGTCTGGGGTGGGGCCTGAGATTCTGCATTGCTAAGAAGCTCCCAGGTGGTAGGGGCGCCTGGGTGGCTCAGTTGGTTAAGCGACTGCCTTCGGCTCAGGTCAGGATCCTGGAGTCCCGGGATCGAGTCCCGCATCGGGGGGGGGGGGGTCCCTGCTCAGCGGGGAGTCTGCTTCTCCCTCTGCCCCTCCCCCCTCTCATGTGCTCTCTCTCTCTCTCCTTCTCTCTCTCCAATAAATAAAATCTTTAAAAAAAAAAAAAAGCAGCTCCCAGGTGGTGCTCCCAGGTGTGTGCCGGCCCACAGCGTACACTTTTGAGTAGTGAGGGCCTGGGAGGCCCTTGTGTGACCTGGTCTCTTGTCTCTGCTTTCCTCCCCCTCCTCCTCCCTCCCTCCCTCTCCTCCAGCTGTGATCTTGTGACTTCAATAATCCAGGTAGAGTCCCACCTCAGGGCCTCTGCATCTGCTGTTCCCTCTGACTGGAACACTCTCACCTAGGTATGTGCACACCCTGCTCTCACCTCCTACGTCACACTTTTATCCCTTCCTCCATGCTTTTGCTTTTTCTCCCTAACACTTTCTTACCTTCTGATAGTCTACGTAATTTATTATCTTGTTATTGTCTGTTCCCCCTACCAGAATATAAGCTCCACAAAGGCAGGAATTTCTGTTTTGCTGTAAAATGAGGCCTGGCAAGTAATAGGCACTCAATAAATACTTGAAGGAATGACTGCGGGTAGCCAACCAGGTAGACCAGGAATATGAAGTATGTTGATAGCTGGTGTGAAAGGAATCCAAATAACATCCACAAATCCAGGGTTTGGGTCATCAGAGGAGCAGGTCTGGTCCCAAGCACAGTGCCTGGAATACAGCAGACATACACACGTTATTCTCCCCCGTGCTGCCCATTCTGTCACAGAAGTTATCTGAGGCTTGGTCTGCCTCCAGAGCTTCACAGAGGACTACACGGTGGGCCAACTCTGTCTTACGTTTGTCCTATCCTACTACGAACTTACGTATTTGAACCTGGAGTCATGTAAAAAGGTAAAGTACGTGGAGCTCTCACTCCTCCTGGTCATCTATCCTGCCATCAGCTGTCTTGCTAACTGGCAAGGTTGGAGATTGGAAAGTAAGGCTGCTGGAGGTAAGCAAGACCATGACCAGAGACTGTACATTGAGGGCTTAGGAGAAGGGCTCTTGTTCTCAATTCCACACATAATTTTGGAAGGGAGCATGGGTAGAGACCCCTGAGACAATATTACAACCTCCACTTTTATGCTGCTTTAAAAATGTTTTCAAACCGTGTTTATCTATATTATTTCATTCTTATCCTACTCCTAAGAGGTAAATACTGTCCACTGAGTAGAGTGGAACATAAAAAGAAAGTAAATGACTATTCATGAGGAGCACAAGCCTTTCCTGACTTGTTTCCAGTTTTGCAGAGATTCTTCAGGTATTTGTTGCCAAAAAGATCTTTTGGGGAACAGAGATTTCAAGTGACAAAGAACTACCACCTACAGACATCCCAATAAGGAGGATGAATTCTAGAAACTTAAGAGTATACATATGGACAAGTGTAGGGATGGAAGGAATTACGAGTTGGTATGATTGGTATAAGCTAACAGTTATCCTTTTCTCTCTTAGGATATGCCCATTGAGGTCTTTTATATCTTTGAGGGCCTTTCGTTTGTTCACAGGTAATTAACACTTGGAGACTTGTGTGTGTGTGTGTGTGATCTCTACGCCCAACATGGGGCTAGAACTCATGGCCCTGAGATCAAGAGTCACATGCTCTACTGACCCAGCCAGCGAGATGCCCCTGGAGACTTATTTTTAAAAGGGTGGTGGGCAAAGGTCATCACACCCCAGGAACCTAGCAGGCCCACGGCCACAGATAACTCATGTAATGGTCACTTTTCTTCTTTGGCCCACCCACCCCATTAGGATGGGCTGAAAGGATTCTGCCATTGTTCTAGAAAAAAATTTTTAATGTCTCATTTTTCAGTAATTAAAAACTTGAGGATTAACTGCTAAAGGATGGTGGGGGCAAAGTGGGTCATGTCTGTGTTTCTATGGGAAACTTCATAGTCAATGGAATTAAGTTCTATATAATAATCTTTTATTTGTACAGCAGCTTTTTTAGAGAATCTTTACATATAAACTCATGAATCCTTTTACTGATTGGGCCGATGGAATAGAGACAACCTTTGCTCCCCACCCTCAAAGGACTTCTTACTCACTAGGAATGTAACAGAATAAACAGGGAATCCCTGGCTCAGTGTTTTATGTTAAAAAGTTTTGGTATGTTTGTTTTTCTTCCTCTGCAGACCAGGAATGACTCGCTTTCAAGAAAAATGGCTGAGGGATATTATTGAGGCCAAAAGTATTTTAATGGAGTCAATTCCCTTCTAATTCTTACAGAATGTTTTAGGATTGGATTTCTAATCAGAACGTGTTAAAAATACGATACTGCACATCAAACCACAGAAAATTTATTGAATAAACTTGTGGCAAACAATCCAGCTGTATTTTTTTTTTTGCATTCATTCATTTTCCATTTGGCAATTTCCATCACATTAGCAGAGTAACCAGTAAGTTGTTTTCCATTTCTAAGTGGTTTTTCCCATCACTGTCTACATCATTTGAGTCTTACAGGTACAGAAGCCAAGTTTAGAGATTTCCTAAAATTCACCTGTCAGACTGAGAATGCTACTTGGCTGCTTGTTCCCCCATCTGAGCCTAGTTCTCTAGTAGACACACCTCTTTAATGGGCATAACTGAGGAAAAGAAAAATGGCAACAGTTCTACAGCTCATAATATAACCAGTCTAAAGATTTCCCTACTCACAGGCCCCTTCACTTACTGTGAGTTAAGCCTCAATGTTAACTAATACTACACTCCGATACTCTGAAACTGGGCACGCTGCATACCACACAGCATCACAACCGTGATGGCAGCAGGGTGGCTTCAAAACAGGAGACAATTGCCACCCTTACTTATTTCTGGTCTTTCCATCCTCACACCAGATCATCACTTGTTCCCACCATCCCTGTGAGGCTGTCTTGTCTGACTGCAAAGGTTTAAACCACCAAAGACAAGATTACATTATGGGTGATTACGTACAGGTACATCAGAATACATATTTATGCAGACAAGCACTGGAAGGGAACACACAATACTAAAGACAAATGATGTGCTAAGACTGTGGTTAATTTTTCTTTCTTCTTTTTTTAACTGTTACATTTGTGTAACAAACATAAAAGAAGGGAAAATCTTATCAGAACAACTGGTAAGGAAGTGGAAAACTAGGTAAGTCTTCCTGAAGAACAAAACATGAATTTCAAATACAACAGCCCTCCTGTCGGACTTATGGCTCAGATGACTCAACACAGTTTGAAGCAGTAACTCTCATGAGCTCAAAATACTTTTAGCCCTTTTATTCTACCCTCCTCTTTCCCAAAAAACATGCTACTGAAGCTGTTCTTTGGCAGATCTTTCCTGAACAAACCCTGATGAAAGAAATGACAAAGTTCTGAAATACATTAATATGTTTTCTTTCATTTACTGACTATCTACTCTGTGGAGGACACAGGAGAATCCAATAAAAACCCACAATAATCCTCTATCACAGAGTTGTTGCATTAAAACTGATCTGCCTGAGCACACGGACTCTGAGATCAAAGACCTCGGTTGAACTGAATCTCTTGTTAAGCTGAAAAGGCCAAAACTCTCCAGATGTCTTCCAATAATGATCAAGTTTTTATCCCAATGTCACGAAGAAACACCACTGACCTCTCCAGGATGACCTCCAACAACCCGAAGACATTTACTGAAGTAGCCGTGTTAAGTTTTCATAACATTTGCTATCGAGTAAAAGTGAAGAGTGGCTTTCTTCTTGGTCGAAAAACAGTTGAGAAAGAAATGCTGACAAATGTCAATGGCATCATGAGACCTGGCCTCAATGCCATTCTGGGACCCACAGGTGGCGGCAAATCTTCGTTGTTAGATATCTTAGCTGCAAGGAAAGATCCGAATGGATTATCTGGAGATGTTTTGATAAATGGAGCACCTCGACCTGCCAATTTCAAATGTAATTCAGGTTATGTGGTACAAGATGATGTCGTGATGGGAACTCTGACAGTGAGAGAAAATTTACAGTTCTCAGCAGCTCTCCGGCTTCCGACAACTATGACAAAGCATGAAAAAAATGAGCAAATTAACAAGGTCATTCAGCAGTTAGGTCTGGATAAAGTGGCAGATTCCAAGGTTGGAACTCAATTTATACGTGGTGGGTCTGGAGGAGAAAGAAAAAGGACTAGTATTGGAATGGAGCTTATTACCGATCCAGCCATCTTGTTCCTGGATGAGCCCACAACTGGCTTAGACTCAAGCACGGCAAATGCTGTTCTTTTGCTCCTGAAGAGGATGTCTGAACAGGGACGAACAATCATCTTCTCCATTCATCAGCCTCGTTATTCTATCTTCAAGTTGTTTGATAGCCTCACCTTGTTGGCCTCAGGAAGACTAATGTTCCATGGGCCTGCCCAGGAGGCCTTGGGGTACTTTGCATCAGTGGGTTACCATTGTGAGCCTTATAATAACCCCGCAGACTTCTTCCTGGATGTCATTAGTGGAGACTCCTCTGCTATGATATTAAACAGAGAGGACCAAGACGGTGAAGTCAAGGAGACTGAAGAGCCTTCCAAGAGAAGATCTCCACTCATAGAAAAAATAGCTGAGTTTTATGGCAACTCTGACTTTTGCAGAAAAACGAAAGATGAGTTAGATCGACTTGTAAAGGGTCATAAGAGGAAGAGCTCAACCTTTAAGGAGATCACCTATGCCACCTCCTTCTGTCATCAACTCAGATGGATTTCCAAGCGTTCATTCAAAAACTTACTGGGCAATCCCCAGGCCTCTATAGCTCAGATAATTGTAACAGTCATCCTGGGATTGGTTATTGGTGCTATTTTCTATGATCTAAAAAATGATCCTACAGGAATCCAGAATAGATCAGGAGTGCTCTTCTTCCTGACAACCAACCAGTGTTTCAGCAGTGTGTCAGCTGTGGAGCTCTTTGTGGTTGAAAAGAAGCTCTTTATACATGAATATATCAGTGGATACTACAGAGTGTCATCTTATTTCTTTGGAAAACTGTTATCTGATTTATTACCCACGAGGATGTTACCAAGTATTATATTTACTTGTATAATATACTTCTTGTTAGGCTTGAAACCAGTTGTGGAGGCCTTCTTCATCATGATGTTTACCCTTATGATGGTGGCTTATTCGGCCAGTTCTATGGCACTGGCCATAGCAGCAGGCCAGAGTGTGGTATCCATAGCAACACTTCTCATGACCATCTCCTTTGTGTTTATGATGATATTTTCAGGGCTGTTGGTAAATCTCAGAACTGTTGGGCCTTGGCTCTCCTGGCTTCAGTACTTCAGCATTCCTCGATATGGCTATGTGGCTTTGCAGCATAATGAATTTTTGGGACAAAACTTCTGCCCAGGAGTCAATGTAACAGCGAATAATACCTGTAGCTATGCAATATGTACTGGCGAAGAATTTTTGCTAAACCAGGGCATCGATCTCTCCCCTTGGGGCCTGTGGAAGAATCACGTAGCCTTGGCATGTATGATTATCTTCCTTATAATTGCCTACCTAAAATTGTTATTTCTTAAAAAATATTCTTAAATTCCTCTTTAATTTACATGATTGATCCACACATTAAAAAGGGAGGATCTTGATTTTTTTTAAATATAAAAAAAAACAAAACTGATCTGCCTACTGAAAATAAGAGTGCAAACTCATTCAGTCTCTAGGAATCAATAACAAAAAATAATGTTCTTAGAGAAAAGAATTCTTAAATAGGGACTATAAATTTAGGTCTTATTACACAGGGAAGTAGATGGATTACAACTCATAAATTTGGAACCTAGCTTCCTTTTACCTTTAGGAAACAAGATATTGATCAGGTTAGGCAGCAATGATGATAAACAGAAATCACTTCATCTTCAGGAGTCATAAATGTTGCTACACGCCAAATGGTTTAGTTCCTTAGTTGTGGGTTAAAGGTAGACACTTTCCTAGAACATATGTTAAATAGTAAAACTTTTTATCTATACTTTGAAATATGACTGCCTTATTTTAAAACTTTGGAAAAAAACACTTTAAACTATTATAAGAGAGAGCATTTTATGACCACAGAGTTAGAACTTCCCCATCCCCCAGGTAATTTAGATTTATTCTAGACACATAATAACACAGCTCAAAACAACCTTAACAAAAACAGCCAAAACTTCTACTGTCCCCTTTCTCTTCACTCTTGTGACCTAACAACTCAAACTGAACAAAATAATGGGAAGAAAAAAGATCATGAACTGCTAGTCCCAGAATTTTCCATTTCTCTCAAACTTAAAAGTCAACAGTAGCCATAAAAAGGTGATAAAGTGAGGGGTTCTATACAAAGTTAAACTGAATGACAGATATAAAAAATAAACTGAAACGTTTAACAATGTTTAAAATGAAATATGCTTATTACATAAAGGACAGACTTAAAATACGTTTAATATCATTTTAACTTCATCCTTATAAAACTAAATTAAAACCAACACTTCAATATATTTTTCCCTATTAAACTCCTAACCATAGTTGACGCCCATTCATTTCCAGTATTCAAATAACGATCTAAGCATAGCTTAGATGGAAATAATCTACTTACATTGGCACAACAGTACACTTCCCAGTATTTTATATTTGAAGAACCATTTTTAAGGAACCTTTTAAGAACTTAAAACACTAACATTCACATTTTCAACTCATTAAGTCTGTGGGTTAGTTTGGTTTTTGGCTTGTTTGTTGGATTTGGGGTAGAGGTAGGGACTAAAACCAAAATACATGATTTCCAAGGCAGACTATATATTATACAAGTCGATTTTCAAATTCCAGATTTGCTTTTTTCAGCAATGCCTTCACCCTGTTAACAAAAGTGGCCTCCTGTATGTTTCTATCAAGTCCATTTATAACACGTTCAACATAGAGGAATGATGATTTCCCACAAGTTCAGTTGGGGTGGGAGTGGGGGACGGGCATCATGTAGAGCTAATAGTAGCACTGTCCCATGGTGTGAGAGTTAAGTTTCTCATCTTACTGACACTTTCTCTCAATGCCACCTCCCCAAGTACAGTATGATTTCATTCGTAATTTGGATTTTTAAACCAGAGAGTTATTATGGTCAATCCAAAAATAACCCAAAGAACTTGCTAAAATTATATCAATAAGCAGCTTTCTATTGAAGGACTGAAAGAATTAAATAGAAGGCACAGTAGCACTGTAAAGCTTTTTCAGATCATAGTAATCTTTTTGTATGTATATGTGGAACCCAGACTTTCTTTTTTTGTTAAAAATGCTGAACAATCAGAAAATCCTTATTTGTCATCTTTCCCTTTAGTTTTTCTGTATACCATCTCTCGAAAACTGGCCAGAATCTTGTTTTCTCTCTTTCGCCTCTCTTCTTGGTTAAAGGACGCCAGGGCTCTCTTCTCATCAGCACTATAGATCTGGTTCTCTTTCCGCAGTCGCACGGCCTCCATTCGGCGATGCCTGGAGATAATTTTATTTTTTGCTTAATTTCTCAGTAATTATTCTCATAGTACTTCCTCACTAATCCTTCTTAATACAGACTGTTCTATTTAAAAAACTGACAAATAGAAATTGTTTTGGTAATGGGTTGGATTTTCAAAAGATCATTTATCTGCTAATGTATCCTTTGATTCATTTTCAGCATTCAAATAATGATCTGATGTTCTGTCAACATCATGAATGTTATTAATTTCAATTACTAAGGGCATAAGTCTAGTTCTGTTGTTTCTACTAAAACAACCAGAAACTAGCAAATTATTAATCTTCCTATGTGATATGTGGAATTAGCCTTTGGGGAATTGACAGTAGGACAGAAGAAAGGCTTAATGTCATCAGTCAGGCAGAACTTCCTCATGGTTCTAACTTATCATACAACCAAAAGGACCAGGTCTAATACTATAATAGAATTTGATGAGTTTTGTGAGTGGATTTAACTTCCTTAGAACCCAGTAGCAGCTCAAAGAAGAGATTTATCACAAGGGCTAATTCAGGAAAGTACAGGGGGCAGAGAGAAACTATTACATTATCTTCAAAAGGTCTGCTAACTTAGAGGGAAAACTCCATGAAACTCTTTTACGTTTATGTAACCCAATCCTACAAAGTCAGTTCGATATAAGGCTTGACCTATGCCTAGAAAAACAGAGAAAACTGAGTAAGGAAAAGAGGGAGAATCATTTAAGATTAGTGTGAAAGTGGGGAAGCAGCCGGATGGAAAGACAAGGAGATGACAATGTATTTAAGGTTGCTCAAGGCACAGTGAATAGAGTTTATTTGGAACACAAAGTGCTATGTGAACAATGTAAAACATCTATGTACATGTCTCCTAGTACATGGGAAAGATTCTCTCTTGGGTATCTAGGAATGGAGCTGCTGGGACATAAGGCTTACGAATGCTCAACTTTCCAAGATGATGTCAGACTGTTTTCCAAAGACACTGTACCAATTTATAACACCACTAGCAGTATTTAAGCGATCCTGTAGATCTACATCTTCTCCAATGCTTGGTACTGTTAGAACTCTGAACTTTTGTCTATCAGATAGATGTAAAATGGTATTTCAGCATGTTCTTGATTTCCATTTCCAATGATAATGAACATCTTTTTATGTATGGGTAGGCCATATATTTTTCTTCTAACAAATGCTTGTGTCATTTTCCCATTTTTTGTTCGGATTGTATGTATTCCTTAAATATTCTCAATACTATCAGTTGTAAGATCTTATCCCAGCTTAAAATTTGTCTTTTTACTTATTTTAAGATGTCTTTTGATGAATAAAACTTAGGCAAATTATCACTATTTTATGATTAATACATTTTTGGAGTCTTCCTTAAGAAACAGTTTACTACCCCAAGATCTGTTAGATATCTACTTATATTTTACACTAAGAGTGTTGAAAGTTGTTTTTGAGGACGCCTGGGTGGCTCGGTCGTTAAACGTCTGCTTCAGCTCAGGTCATGATCCTAGGGTCCTGGGATCGAGCCCCACATTGGGCTCCCTGCTCGGCAGGAAGCCTGCTTCTCTCTCTCCCACTCCCCCTACTTGTGTTCCTGCTCTCGCTATCTCTCTCTGTCAAATAAAAAAACAAAATCTTTTTTAAAAAAAGTTGTTTTTGACATTTAAGTCCTTATTCTTGCTGCGCTGATATTTTTCTTAATTAAAAAAAATTTTTTTTAAGAAGGCTCCACACTCAGCGTGGGGCTTGAACTCACAACCCTGAGATCTAGAGTTGCATGCTCTAGTGAGACAGCCAGGCACCCCTAGTTGCACTGATTTTTAAATATGGTGATGCAGGGTTCTACTTTCATCTTTTTCCAAATGGATAACCATTTTTCTCCTGCTCCATTCACTGAATAGGTCCTTCTTTCCCCAATGATCTGACATACAATCTCTTTCATCTAACTAAGTTTACGCATGTATGGCTCTGCCGGGCTTCATATTTTATCCCACTGAACAATTCATTTGTGCTCCTGTACTTTCTACAGTTTTTTCTTTTTAAAGATTTTATTTATTTATTTGAGACAGAGAGAATGAGAGAGAGAGAGCACATGAGAGGGGGGAGGGTCAGAGGGAGAAGCAGACTCCCTGCCAAGCAGGGAGCCCGATGTGGGACTTGATCCGGGGACTCCAGGATCATGACCTGAGCCGAAGGTAGTTGCATAACCAACTGAGCCACCCAGGCGCCCTGTACTTTCTAAAGTTCTATAAGCTTCATAATAAGCCCTCATATTTGGTAGGGCAAATCTCATCTTCCTATTCTTCTTCAAAGGTGACTGGGCTATTCTTGGCCCTCTAGTCTAACATAAATTTTAGAACCATCTTATTGGGGCGCCTGGGTGGCTCATTCGGTTAAGCATCTGCCTTCGGCTCAGGTCATGCTCCTAGGGTCCTGGGATCAGGCCCTGTGCAGGCTCCCTGCTCAACGGAGAGCCTGCTTCTCTTACTCCCTTTGCTGCTCCCGCTGCTTGTGCTGTCTCTGTCTCTGTCAAATAAATAAAATCTTAAAAAAAGAGAACAATCTTACTAAGTTTCACATAAACCTCTGCTATGAGTTTGACTAGAACTACACTGAATATACAGATCAATTTGGGGAGAACTGACAAGTTTACATATTGCCTGCCTATGTGAACATGGTATCTCTCCATTTAAGCCTTCTTTAATGTCTTTTTAAAAAGATTTACTTATTTATTTGAGAGAGAGAGAGAGGGTGAGTGGGGGAGGGGCAGAGGGAGAGGGAAAGAATCTCAGGCAGACGTCCCATTGAGTGTGGAGCCCAACGCGGGGCTCAATCTCACAACCCTGAGATCATGACCTGACCTGAAACCAAGAGTCAGACCCTTAACTGACTGAACCACCCAGGCACCCCTTTAATGTCTCTTAATGTTTTCTAGTTTTCCCTGTAGAGGTCTTGGACATTTTTTGTTAAGATTTATTCCTAAATCCTTCATATTCTGATACTACTATGAATGTTGTTTTCTTCTTATTTAATTACATTCCTGTTTCCTGATATATAGAAATGCAATTTTCATGTATTAACCTTATACCCAACCATTTATTAAGCCCTATTATTCAGAATCATCTGAAGATTCCTTAGAATTTTCTATGTAAAAAAAAA